GGACTCGATCCCGGGACTCCAGGATCATGACCTGAGCCGAAGGCAGTCGCTTAACCAACTGAGCCACCCAGGCGCCCTGCCCACTTCTTTTGTATCACTTCTCTGGTCTCTGCTTCCTCTACCACCAATTTGGGTTTCACTCATAGAGGCTGGTCACCCTTGGATGCCGATCCTCTGATGGCCAAGGTCAGGTCCCTGCTCTGTGCACAGGAACAGCTCTTCCACTGCCCACCATGGGGTTTCCCAGAACTGATGCCAACACCTTCACTCTCTGAGAAGCTAGGCAGATTAGGATTCTGTGACTCTGGGGGGAGCGTGAGGCTCCTCTGCTGTGACCTAGGACAACCAAGAACTGAATGATTTAATGAACGCAGTGATCCAAGCAAAAAGCCTGCGTGCATCAGGGACCACACATTTCCCAATGCCATACCCTTCATATTCAGAACTGAGGCCTACCTGTGGCCCCTTGTGGGTCTACAGGATAAAGTCTAGATGACCCAACCAGTCACAGGCCCTGCACAATCCACTCCTTCCCCAACTCCATTCCAGACAGCCTGGACTGCTTACCTCCCTCCCTCTAATATGTAGTTTCCTCTTCCTGGTACTCTCTCCTGGCCTCAGCTCTAGCTACACACTCCAAGAAACCTTTCCTGACTGGGTTGGTGGACTCTCTGTGCTTGCCCAACACAGACCTCATCTCTGGGGATCCCTGCAAGCTTAGGGAATGCAGGGCCATGTCTGCCCAAATAACCATGGTGAACCTGAGCCCAGCATCCCCCTGGGGTATTTCCTGGCCTAGAGCTCCTGGTGGGGGACCCCCCTGGGACCACACTGCCTGCCAACCCTACGCTTCTGCAATGTGCATCATCCCCATTAAAATATTCCCATTAGAAAGAGCATGGGGGTCATGCTGTAGCAGATTCAGTATGTAACATGTCTGTGCCTTTAGGAGTCCTGGCTGGCCACCAACTCAATGCTTGAATGAAGCATCCAAGACTCCAAAGACAGAAGTCTCTTCCCTGTCCACCACCACAAGGAAATACTGTGGCTCCTGTAGAGTTGCAGGGGCCAGGACCACGGAGGGGATAAGCAGGGGAGGTCATCTAGTCCCAATATAGCCCAGTCCAAATTGGTCTGGCAGGGTAAGAGTACAGGTATGTTTCTTGACGTCTGTTCATAGCCATTGTCCCAAACCTTACCTCTGTCTTTAGCCACCTCAGATTCCCTTAAGCCTCCTCCCTCAGACCTAAGGCCACCCATTTGATAAGTTTGGGGGTGGGGGAAGTCTCGGTGGTAGGCTAGGAGAGCCATTCTTTCCTCAAAAAGCTTCCTTTTAATAATGCCTCCTGAAACATATGGGGTTTGGAAGGGTCGAGAGAACCTCCTAGCCATGCCCAAACCAACAATGAGGACCCTGGGGACCAAATCCGAGAAAACCCGAGCCCCCGGCGATCCTCAGGAGTGGGGCCAAAGGACCTCGGTCTCTCCAGCTAAAATATGGGCATAAAGCGAGGCAACTTTTGGGGCTGACGCAGACAGGAGGACTGAGGGACAACCGCACCGTAGCCCTCCCACTTACCCCATATTCTACAGGGGAAGGTGAGCAGAGGTTGACCACACCCCGCACGCAGCATGGCGGGAGGTGGACGGACAGACCCAGGGGGCAAGACAGTCATATGCTCCCCCACCCCATGCTCAGAGCAGATGCAGACCTGGAAGATAGCGCCCCGCCCCCGGACCCCGTCCTGCCGGACCCACGAACACACGGACCCACGACTGGACGCGCGCCTCACCCAGCACCACCGGAGGGGGACGTCCGACCGGGAGCGCCGGATCCGCCAGGAGCAGGAGGCACAGGAAGCCACCCGGGAGCAGCGCCGCATGGTAGGGACAGAGGCGAAGACCCATTGCGTGACACCGCCGCTGCAGGTCCGAGGTGCGGATTCAGCGCTCTGTGCTCGCGCCTAGGCCGGGGAAGCGGCGACGCGCTTAACCCCACCGCCCGCACTCGGCCACGGCGGCCGGGCCAATCAGCATCCGCCTCCCTCAAACGGCCTGCCAATAGGGACTCGCCGCCAGGCACGTCCCTCACAGTCGGAGCTCGCCGCCTCGCTCCTGCGGATCCCAGGCCAGCTCCTTGGACCGCGCCGCGCGCCGAGCGCATCGATCGCATCGATCGCATCGATCGATCCGGGTTCAGCCTGGCTTCTCTGCTCAGTCCCGGACGAGTCGGACCCAGCTCGCCGCTGCTGGATACCCAACCCAGCCTTGTGTACCCTCACCCCCGGTTCCTGGCTCGTCTCTGACCTGAGATCTGGAACGAGTCGGGCCGAGGGTGGAGTCAGAGTCCAGTGCTCGCCGCTGCTGAGAGACCCTGGTTAGAGCAAGGGGAAGAAGAGGAGAAGTGAATCCCGGAAAGTTATTGGGCCTTAGGGGACCGGGAGCTGACCAGGACCTTTGTACAGACCCCACACCGATTCTTCACACCTTGCCCCGACGGCACGTCGGGTCCAGGGGCGCCCTGCGTCTGTCCAGGGATTAGGAATGCGGGTGGGACAGGTAGAGGCCAGGTGTGAGGGCTGCCCCGCCTAAAGTTTTAGTTTCGGGCAATATGGAGTCACCTCTCCAGACTAAGCAGTTCTAGTGCCCCAGAGAAAGTGGATTTGAACCCCAACCCTATGGCCATGGCCCATTGGCAGATTCCCCAGCAGAGCAGGACAGGTGTTGTGACCTTGGAGTCCACCTACCATTCCCACTACACGCAAACTGGGGATCCAGAGAGGACACAGACTCCCTGCTGGAGGAATCAGAGGCAAACAGAATGGGCAGATTTGACAGCTGGCGATATGACCAGCACCACGGGTCACTCTAGGATACAGAGACCAGTATGTTTGGAGACAGAAAGTCTTGATCCTCCACACACTTCCTCCTGAGGGCCAGACAACACCCTGATCATCCCCTGGTCTTAAGACTTCTAGCCCGCCCCTTCCCTCCTTCCTTCCTTCCTTCCTTCCTTCCTCTTGGCCAATGGCTGACCCTTTCTAGCCTTTCAGAGTACTCCTGGATGAATCAACTCACCCTCTTGGCCTGCCCCTCCTGTGTTCTTATAGGGAAACATATTGGTGGTTGGGGTACACTACTCTCTTAAGGTCCAACTATCTCCCTCAGGCCCTGGCAAGGACCCCAAACCCTGACTCCCTTACCTCCATCCTGGCCCCCAGAAAGAGGGGTTGCTAAGGACCAATCTAGTGCAGGTCCACAGTGGGAGACCATAGACATCCTTTTGCCGGTACTAGGGAAAGGCAGGAGTCCATAGTCAAGGGTTAAGTGGAGGGAGGGTAGGCATCAGGATGGCCTGGGCTGCCTTGGACTGTGGCCAGTCTGAATGTGTTGTCAGCCCAGCAGCCTCAGGTGACCATGGACCCTTCACAGGGTGTCCCAGTTGCACAGGCCCTGCAGATGATAGGAACCACAGCCATTGCGGGGTGAGGATGTCAAGACCTAGTCAGCAATGATCTGTGCTGGCACTGTGGAGAGGAGAGGAATCAGAAGGTAAGGATCCCCCCTTCTCACAATGACCTTGCCATCCACATGATCCCCCTTGGCCGCAGACCTGGAATCTAGATACTATCCTGATTCTCAGACCCCACAACCAGGTGGTCACCAAGTCTTACCCGCTCTACCTTCCCGAAGCCAAACTACTTTTATCCCCATAGTAGTCTCCTTGCTCATGTCCCAATTTATGCCCTTATTCCTATGGATTGTTCTCCATGGGGTTGACACCATTAAACATTAAATCAGGCCCATCACTGTCCACCTAACCCCACTCACAATGCCCCTAGTGAATGCATCATAGGCATCTCACTCATAGTGAATGAGGAGCCTGCAGGCGACTCTGGACTTTTCCCACAACTTTCACTTCCTCTCTTCCTCAGCTCACTTGTCTCCACCTTCAGCAGCTTCCTCGCTGCCTAGAACAGGACAACCTCATTCTTGCTCTGGACCTCTGCACTTGTTGCACTGGGATCACTCTACAGCTCCCAGTTTTGGGGACTCAGCTGAGCTCTGCCTTTAGGCCTCAGACCAGACATGACCATTGATTCTGAAGCAGCTCCTGCCTGACTCCCAGCAGAATATAATCCATGGAAGAGCAAGTCTTCACCTGCCTGTTACTGGTGCAACTGCCTTCTTGGTTACTGGGTATCATCAGCACAGTCCCAGGCAGACAGCAGGTGCTTAACATATACTGAATGATTGAGTGATACACCCCCTTCTTTAACACTTTCCCCTTTCAGGATATGGTCCTGGTTGGTGCCTGTCAGACCTGGAGAAGGAGATAAGGGACTGAGAGGTCCACAGGCCAGTAGTGCTATCTTCCTCAGATGAGAATCCAGCCAACAGCCTTTGCCCTTTCTCTGTTACACTGGGCCCTTTGCATTCCCTCTTGCTCACACAAGTTCCAAGCTGCCCTATCTGGACCAGGTGGGTGCCTGGGCTTCGGGCAACCCAACCAAGACCATGGCTTCTAAGCCAGAGCTGAGCCCATTTGGAGGCCAACTGATTCTCCCTAAAGCTCACAGTTCATCAGGCTCCTATTCCTCTGATGCCAGAGCCAAACACTGACCAAATCATGACAGAACAGGTTATCTATTTTTTTTTTTTTTAAGATTTTATTTATTTATTTGACACAGAGAGAGCGTGGGCACAAGCAGAGGGAGCGGGAGGGAGAGGGAGAAGCAGCTCCCCGCTGAGCAGGGCGCCGGATGCAGGGCTCGATCCCAGGGTCCTGGGATCGATGGGGTTTTGGAATATAGGTTAGGTTCAGTGGGGTGGAGTCTGGAGCCAACAACTAAGAATTCTTGAGACGTCTTTGGTGTGGAATGCTGGTTTATTAAAGCACAGCAACAGGACCGTGGGCAGAAAGAGCTGCAGCACCGGGTGTGAGGGGTGGCTGATAATGTACTATGGGGTTGGGGGGTGGTAAGGAAAAAGAACTTTCATATGCTAAGGAGGACCTACAAGATACTGGAGGCCTTGCCATTGTCAACTTAAGGTTGTTTTTCCCCTCTAGCAAGACATTAACATTAAGATAGTTGGGAGATTCCTGGAAGAATGTCACATATGTCCCACCCAGGAGTGGGGGATGGGGGGTGGTTGCAGAGTGTCAGCTTATGCTTTGTCTTCACCCAGCCTTCTGCTTCCTCATCAGGATCATGACCTGAGCCGAAGGCAGACGCCCAACTGACTGAGCCACCCAGGCGCCCCCAGAACAGGTTATCTAACCTGGCTTAGTCATCAACGAATGTTACCTGGAGGAACAATTATTCGAGATGGATCTTGAAGAATAAGTAGGAATTTGCCAGGAAAACAAAGGGATGAGTAGGTGGGTGGGTGCTCCAGGTAGGGAGCTTAGTATGTGCAACAGCCTGGAGACCTGAACAATCACAGTAAGTGTCTCTGGGGCACAGGGTGGGTGGGAGTGGAACAGAGAGGTTGGAGGTCTTGAAAACCAGGCTTAAAAACGGCCCCTGTCCAGGAAGCCAGGAGCCACAAAGATGCTCAAACCAGAGGGAGGCGGCCTCAAGGCCCTTCTCTTTTCACCTCTGTCCTGGAGCATTGCCCCCGGTTGGGCTCTCCTGTGCAAGTTCCTCTTCCCAGCCCCCAACGCCTGGTTCAGGCGACAGGGTCAGTGCGCCCTCTGGTGGGTACTCAGCGAAGATTCGGCAAAGGCGCGCAGCTGGGAACCTGGGTGGAACCCAGTGCGCTGGCACTGGAGGCCCAGGAGATAAGGGTAGCTGCGGATGGTCAAGTTGCGGTCCACTGGGCCGCAGAGGGTGTGGATGGGCCTGAGCCGGCGAGTGTAGATCGCCGCAGTGGATCCCACAAGGCATCCAGCGTAGAATCCTCTCCCACAGTGGGATATTTTCTGGCCTGGGAGGGAGAGAAGAGGGCCCTTTTACACCACTCCTGGACGCCCTGCAGGTCCAAATGACCGGCCACACTCTGGGGCCCACATGAGGACCCCCACCCGGTATCTGCGCCGACCTTCACGTACCCGCTGCTGAAGCTGCTGGAGCGCCAGTTGCCTCCATAGCAGGCCTCGAGGGGCTGAGATAAGGATGGGATTCCGCGAGTGTGTGGCCTGGATCACAGGACCAAGTTCCTTTCCCCCAAGTACCTGAATTATAGTTTGGGAAACGCTACGGGCTGGACCTTTGGAGCCTTGCTCACCCCTTTCACGTATGTTATTTTCAATTCATTCATTAACGATTTATGAACCCTAGTAGCTGGGTTGGGGTGGGGGACACGTATAGCTTACAGCCCAATGAAATACAGGAAATCTCATACTACAGTGGGGACCCCTGCTACAGAGGGAGGTGCCTTCAGAGAAAATCTGGAAGAAGAGCAGGGGTTAACTAGGACAAGGGGTGGGTTGGGAGGGGAGGAAAGAGCTCAGATGAGACTCCTAGAAGAAAAGACCGGTAGCCCCAGGGAAGGTTACTAGTGCTGAAAGTTACTAGGCTGATGATGCAAAACAAAGCACTTAAGACAACCATTCATTCGTTCATTAAGTCTTGAGCAAGTTTACTACAAGCCAGGCGCAGTGATAAGCCCTGGGAATGAGCCTGTCCTCCGGGATCTGAGTTCAGGGTGGATGTGGTGTAAGGACACAATAAATGATTTACTGTCATTTATTATGAAGTTACTTTAGTGTTGGGGGAAAGGAGTGAGGGTTGTTTAGTATTAATGCTGTGATCTGGGAGGATCCATCTGAAGATGAGTAAAGGAGCTCAGCAAAGCAGGGGCTCTAGCGTTATTTTAATGAATTTAGTTTTTCAAGAAGAGTCCAAGCATCAGGAATTGTCATGCGGTTGGAAACGGGCGGAGTTGCCCCCACGCTGCCAGGATGGCTCGAGATGCCACACTGGAGAGGTCACCTCAAGAAGGTGGCTTCCCTGAAGACCTGACCTCGAGACCCACGCTGAAGGAAGAATAGGGAAGGCCTAGCGTGAAGGTCTAGAGGTTAAATGGATGGGGGCTCCGGGAAGGCTGAGACCGAGATCGAGTTAGCTCTCAGATGGCAAGGTGGTGACGCCGGACTGTCCTGTAGAAGCCGGAGCCCAGACAGGAGCCCGACAAGGAGGGACGCTCGCCAAGGAGTTTTAGGAGAGCCCCTAGGGTGAGGAGGCGTTGGCCGCAAAGGCGTGGATGAAGGCCCAACTCCGCCAGGCGCACGCGCGCTTCAGGTTGGGCAGGGGAGGAGCCTTACTTCACTGTTGGGCCCCACCCCCAAACAAATATTTGACATTCCAGGCTTATCTAGAGCGGAGCTGGACCCGAAGAGCGACTTTCCCCCCTCCCACCCGGCCTGATTGGCCTAGCGCTTCCGTGGGTGGGGACCAGCGGGCAGGCGCCGGAGTGGGCGGTCCGGAAAGGGGCGGACCCCCGCCTATACCCGAGGAAGCGCTCGTAACCCGAGGCTGCTGGAATACCTTTTTCCCACTCCCCGCAGACCGCCGAGTCCCGGCCCTTACTGGGCACCTCGGTCTCTTTATCCGATAGTGAAGTAGGGACGCGATGAAGTGTGGGTTCAATGGGCAAGGCCTCCTTAGCTCCCCCTCCACCGGGCTCTTTCTCCATCGTCCGAACATCAGGACTCAGCGCCCAGCTTTTCCGAAAGCGCGAGGTGCGGCTCCAGCTTCAGTTTCCGCGCGGGCTTGGCAACCCTACGTCCTTTCTTCCCGCCGGATTCTTCAGTTTCTCAGTCATATGAAGGGGAGCACTTAGGGAAGTCCGGCGCGGCATGGAAACGCGCCGTAAAGGAGCCTCACCAAGCACGACGGGGCGAAAGGGTGTTGGGAGCCCTCCATGCGGGACTGTCCTTACTGGGTTCCTGGTCTCGCATGGAGACGAGATGGAGGATATGCAGCCCGCACGCGCACATCACACGTTCGCCGCTAGCCCCCACCCGCCGGCGCGCTCACATCTCCAGGCAACGGGCCCGTCGTCAGGCGGGGAGGGCGACGAAAACAGGCAGCGGTCTCCACGTGGGGTAGCGGTGAGGCTCCGGGCCCAGACCATCTGGCTCAGCCCCGTCTAGAGGCGCTCTCTGGATTGGAGCGGGGCGCTTCCTGCTTCCCCAGCACCGAGGCCTGCACACCACCTAGTGTTTTGGCACCGCGGGCACATCCCGGAGCCAGGCTAAGGCCAGGTCTTCACACGTGTGTGGACAAGCCCTGCCCCGTGACCTCTCGTCCCCCGACCTCATCGCTCTAAGAACCTCTGCTGATCCCCGACCCTCCCTCCCCAACCCAGTTGGCCTCTGGTGACCACCTCCCCCCAGGCCTCTGGGTGATAGCCAGTAATTCACCGCCCTCTTTGGTGACTTCTATCATCCCCCGGCCGGCCGTCGTGACCCCCAAAGCCCCTAGACTGCCTCCTGGTGATTTTCACAAATTCCATGTGACCCCTGTGGACTGCAGAAGGCCCCTGTTTTTGCATTTTTCTTGGCGCCGGCCTCATGGTGGGGCGGGACAGAGAAGAGGACGAGATCGAGTAGGGCAAGGCCCTCTGACGGAGTGGGAGTCCGGGCCTTGAGCGCGCACCCAGGCCCGGCGTCTGAGCGCGCGCGCTCCGGGCGAGGCTCTAGCGGCCTTCCCCCTCTGTTCCCCGGGGCCGCCCTCGGTCACGTGGCCGGCGGGGCCGACAGGTAACTCGCCCGGAGAGGGCGGGGGCCAGTAGCCGCCCCGCCCCACGGGGCGCCGCGGGCGGGTCTCAGCAGCGCCCACTGCGCCAGCCGGGCCGCAGGTGCCGCCCCCGACACACGGTGTCCCGCCCAAGCTGATTCGTGTCTGCCGTCGGCCGGTGCGTGCGTGCGCCTCGTCGGTCCGCGTGTGTCTGGCCGAGCGCCCCCTTTCTCTGCGGCCATGACTCCGCCGCCTCCCCAGCCACCGCCCCCGGGCCCCAACCCCATCTCAGACTCCGCCGCCGACCCCCGCTTGGGGCCTGGACCCCTGGTCGTACTGTTCGGAGCCACGGCTGGTGCGCTGGGGCCGGACCTGGGCTCCGACGAGACCGACTTGATCCTCTTAGTCTGGCAAGTGGTGGAGCCGCGGAGCCGTCAGGTACGGTGAGGCGGGGGGGAGGGGGGTTGGGGTCCCCAGGGAGTTTCAGGATCCGAGGGGAGCAGTGGCTGACCGGTTTCCCCCGCCGCTCGTAGGTGGGGACGTTGCACAAGTCACTGGTTCGCGCCGAGGCGGCCGCACTGAGCCCGCAGTGCCGCGAGGCGAGCGGCCTGAGCGCCGACAGCTTGGCGCGGGCCGAACCGCTGGACAAGGTGCTGCAGCAGGTGAGTGCTGGGGCCCGGGTGAGTGGAGGCATGGCCGGGCCGCGGGGACATTTCTCAGCCGGAGAGGCGGCAGGAGGCAAGGCCTGGCGTGCTGCGACCAACTGGCCCGGGCGGTAGGACGAGTTCCTGTTGTTTAAAAGTTTCAGAGATTCCCGCGTGTGCCGGCCCTTCCTGGGGGCACCTTACTTTTCAGCCTTTCCAGGGATCCACTCCTACTGACGCGGTGGGATGGAAGCTGCGAGACCCCTCCCAGGGCCGGCGGGGCTGTGAGGCTGAGACGCTTCTGGGAACCTGCCTGGCCAGGTCTCCCAGAACAGCGGTCGGAAGCCAAAAGGGCCGAGGGGCCCGGTCCTGGCCATAGGTCACGGTCCCTGCCGCCGGCGACCTCGGCCCACCCACTCGCCTAGGAGACGCTGGAGCGGGGGCGTAGGGCGGGGTCTGCCTCCGAGGCGGACGCCGCCAGGTGTAAGCTTGCTCGTCTAGGCCTGTCCCGGCCGGCTGGCCAGGCGTGGGCGCTGTCCGGACCCCGCCTGAAGGCTACCTGTCTCCTGAGTGCAAAGGCCCCGGGTGCCTCCCAGCTCTGGCTGAAGTGGGAGGCGGTTCCTGAGCTGTTTTCTTTTTTCTTACCTCCGCTACTGCACTCACCCTGTGCCTGACTCTCGAGTGTAATGAGTTTAAGTGCTTTACAGGCGCAGATCGTTTCATTTTCCAACAACTTGGGAGGTTCTTGATGAGGTACAAAGGTGTTGAACCTGGTCCTGTTCCAGAAGGGCTCCCAGGTTAGACCCTACTTGGGGAGTGTGCTGAAGGAGAACTGGGTTGGCTCGCTCTGGGCCTGTGCCTAGGGCTTCTACCTGTTCTCCAGCACGGAGGAAGGCTGGGGGGGCGGGGCTGGGCAGCTTGAGAAGTGCCACCCCCTCTGTGAGCAAACAGTTCAGTGCCAGCCGGTCGATAGGGTGTGGGTCAAAGCTCATGCTGCCCCTGGCGTCCAGGTGTGGAGCTCTGTCCTTGGATTTTCTCTGCCCCTCGGTTGGTCAGACCTAGAGGCGGGGCTGCCGTTGACCTCATATGAGCCTGCTGGGCCTCAGGCAGGATTGGGCCTCCCCCACCTGTCTGAGGGTGGTGCCTGGTCAGGGACAGGTTTAACCTGCTTTGCCCCGCCCCTTCCCACCTGCTTGTCCCACTCCACCAGGTGTTTGCTCTGGCCCCACTCCAGGCTCTTGGGAGTGTGTGTGATGGGGGCTTGGGTGATATGTGACTGCCCCCCCCCCATTTGGCCTGGAGAAGGTGACAGCGGACTGGGGGAGAAAAGGGACACAGAACCAGGCCCCCGCCTGTGGCCAACTTCTCCCCAGGCAGGGGAGGGCTGAACATCTAGCTGAACCAGCTTTGCAGCCTGTGCCCTCCCTCGTGCCCGCCCAGCTGTGAGTCTGTGTCTGTCTCTCTCCTCATTCCCTACCCCCAGTTCTCACAGCTGGTGAGCGGGGATGTGGCTCTGCTAGGCGGGGGCCCCTACATGCTATGCACTGATGGGCAGCAGCTGCTGCGACAGGTCCTGCACCCCGAGGCCTCCAGGAAGGTATGCCACTGAGGGCACAACAGGGGGTAGGGCTCCCAGGACCCCTGTCATGGGGGCGGGAAGGGCAGCTCAGTTCCCCCCAATTCATGCCCACTCCCATGTGCCCCCAGAACCTGGTGCTCCCCGACACCTTCTTCTCCTTCTACGACCTCCGCAGAGAGTTCCATGTGCAGCACCCAAGCGCCTGCCCTGCCAGGGAGCTCACCGTGGCCACCATGGCACAGGGTATCGGTGACCCAGAAGGGCTGGGGTGGAGGGGAAGCTGTAGGCTGTTCCTGAGGATGTGCCTCCTGGAGGACTATACAAACAAATGCCAGGTTACGTTATCTGCCAAGTCCTTGAGGACACATGCCTGTGTGTCTGTGCTGGGGTGTGTCTGAAAATAGGGACATACGTCTGCCCATGTCTGGGATGGGGACTTGTACAGGCATATATGAGCTGGATCAGAACAAACGTGTTTGTCTCTCATGTTGGGATTTCCTTATTGTTATTTCTCTGCTCATAGACTTGGGGCTGGAGACAGATGCCACAGAGGATGACTTTGGGGTCTGGGAAGTGAAGACGATGGTAGCTGTCATCCTCCACCTGCTTGAAGGGCCCAGTGGTAAGGTTCCCCTCACCACCTGTCACCCGCTCTCAGGACTGGGTGAATGTCTGCCTCTTACTTCCTCAAAGTCGCCGTCCCCACTTGTTAACCTTCTTTGAGAGACCACAGGTAGAAGCTCCTTTGTCACCTCCTTATCCCCCTCAACTGTCCTCTTTTTGCAGAGCTTGGTGGGGAGACCCCTCCTCCACCAGACCCTGCTGACCCCCATGCCATCTCCTCTCAGGTCAATTGTTTTCGAAGGCAGAGGTGGTAAAGCAGAAATACGAGACAGGTCCTTGGTGAGTGTGGGGGCAGGGGTGGGGGGCGCCAAGAGCTGGACCGCTCTGACTGTGCCCTGCCCCCACAGCAGCAAGGCCGATGCGGTGGACAGTGAGACTGTGGTTCGGGCCCGTGGGTTGCCCTGGCAGTCCTCAGACCAGGATGTGGCTCGGTTCTTCAAGGGACTCAACATTGCCAGGTGGGTACGGCACGGTGGGTGGGCTCGGGAGGGCAGGCCTGCCCAGCAGGCGCTGACGAAGCCCTGGCTCTGCAGGGGAGGTGTAGCGCTCTGCCTCAACGCCCAGGGCCGCAGAAACGGCGAGGCCCTCATCCGCTTTGTGGACAGCGAGCAGCGGGACCTAGCGCTGCAGAGACACAAGCACCACATGGGCGTCCGCTATATTGAGGTGGGGCTTCGGGCTGGGAGTGAAGCAGGGCGGAGCTGAGGCCCCCCGGGCTGGAGATCCATGGGCTATCCCCACTGTCCCCACAGGTGTATAAAGCAACAGGAGAAGAGTTTGTCAAGATCGCAGGGGGTGAGTGTGCTCCCAACCACACCTGGCTCCCCTGGCTCTTGACCGTGTCCCCCCTTGCCCACCACCCCCCGCCTTTCTGCGCCCCTGCGTGCCAGGTGTAGCTGGGTATTTGGAAGGGCACAAATGAAGTCAGTAGGTGACTCCCATGCCTCTCACCAAGGCACATCACTAGAGGTGGCTCGGTTCCTGTCCCGGGAAGACCAAGTGATACTGAGGCTACGGGGACTGCCCTTCTCGGCTGGGCCGGCGGATGTGCTAGGCTTTCTGGGGCCCGAGTGCCCGGTGACGGGGGGTGCGGATGGGCTGCTCTTTGTGCGCCACCCTGACGGCCGGCCCACCGGTGACGCCTTTGCCCTCTTTGCCTGTGAGGACCTGGCACAGGCTGCGCTGCGCAGGCACAAGGGCATGCTGGGTAAGCGATACATTGAACTCTTCCGGAGCACTGCGGCTGAGGTGCAGCAGGTGAGCACCCAGGGCTCCCCCTCCCCCCATGTGCTTCTCCCGGGGACCCCTTCCAACCCCCCTGTACCCCCGCCCTACTTGGCATCACCGGCCTGTTGCTGCCTTCCTGGCCAGGTCCTGAACCGCTATGCATCCAGCCCACTCCTGCCCGCACTCGCCGCTCCCCTGCTCCCCATCCCCTTCCCACTGGCCACTGGGACTGGGAGAGACTGTGTGCGCCTTCGAGGCCTGCCCTACACAGCCACCATCGAAGACATCCTGAGCTTTCTGGGGGAGGCAGCTGCTGACATCCGGCCCCACGGTGTGCACATGGTGCTCAACCAGCAGGTGAGGCTGCTGCCGGTGGGGAGACCTGCACGGTTAGAGAAGGGCTGTGGGGTTGGGAGTGAGGCCCTCTAGCGCGTGACGGGTTGTTCACAAGACCACCGTGTGAACAGGGCCGGCCATCGGGCGATGCTTTCATCCAGATGACATCAGCAGAACGGGCCCTAGCTGCTGCTCAGCGTTGCCATAAGAAAGTGATGAAGGAACGCTATGTGGAAGTGGTCCCCTGCTCCACAGAGGAGATGAGCCGTGTGCTAATGGGGGGCACCTTGGGCCGCAGTGGCATGTCCCCTCCACCCTGCAAGCTGCCCTGTGAGTGTCCCAGGGGCTGGGGAAGGAGGCATGTAGGGGCCAAGCTGTTATAACCCTCGCTTTCTACAGTGGGGACTCTCTTCTTGCTGCCTCACCCAGGGCAGTGCTGGGCTCCCTGCAGATGCACTCTCTACTTCTGCCTCCAGGCCTCTCACCACCCACCTACGCCACGTTCCAGGCCACCCCAGCGCTCATTCCCGCTGAGACGGCCGCTCTGTACCCCTCTTCAGCACTGCTCCCAGCAGCCAGGGTACCTGCTGCCCCTACCCCTGTTGCCTACTACCCAGGGCCAGCCGCTCAACTCTACATGAACTACACAGCTTACTACCCCAGGTACCAGCTGCTAAGAAAACCCCCCAGTCTTGCCCCCATTCTGGTGTGACGGAGGGTCATGGTCCCCTTCCTGGGCCAGATAATCCAAGGTCTGTTAAGAGCTGCAACTTAATCTAAGATGGACAAGGGAGTGACAGGTACGGTATGGAGGATACTGGTGACAAATTAGAATGGGGAGGACTCTGGAGACAGCGGTTTTAGGGAGGAGGAACTGAACTAAGCACAAGGTGGAGATAAGGGAAGAGTGAGGTGGGTCTTGGTCTAGGCCATAGGTGGGACTGCACTCCTAAATCCCTGCCTCTCCCGTCCTAGCCCCCCCGTCTCCCCCACCACTGTGGGCTACCTCACCACACCCCCTGCTGCCCTGGCCTCTGCTTCCACCTCAGTGTTGTCCCAGCCAGGAGCCCTGGTCCGTATGCAGGGTGTCCCATATACAGCTGGTATGAAGGATCTGCTCAGCGTCTTCCAGGCCTATCAGGTGAGGTGTGGCTGGAGGGCTTGGGAACCTGGCTGAGCCTGGAGCTCCCTCCCCTAAATCTCTGTCCCTTCTGCAGTTAGCCCCTGATGACTACACCAGTTTGATGCCTGTTGGTGACCCGCCTCGCACTGTGCTACAGGCCCCCAAAGAGTGGGTGTGTTTGTAGGTGAGGGAGCCAGGAGGTAAGAGCTGGCTGTTGTCTTATCATGTCTGTCTCGGCATCCAGAGAACCACTACCCTCAACCAGGTGGCTGCTTTCTGGGCTTGTCAGAGCTCTCAGAAAGCACCTAGAGGAGCTCAAGCCCCAGCTCCATCTCCCGCTTGTTGCTCTGCCTGTCCACCCCAAAGCTGCTGGCTGGACCCTGCATGCAGGGCTGGGGGTGGAATGGTGTTACCCTCCTTCCGATGGCCTGATCCGGGCCTCTGAATAGCACCAAGAGAGCCTTTGGTCAGTTTTGGCTGTGGCCCATACCCACAGATTCTGTGGGGCTGATGTCCACAGCAGGCTGGCTGGCTTTTTAAAAATGTAAGCCCTGGTGCCTTCAACGTATGACTCCTGGGAGCTTCTGTGTGAAGATCCCAGTGTTCTACCCTCCCCTTTCCCTTCTGCAGGGGGCAGGGAAGCAGAGAATGCTGGCCCCAGCCCCCAGGATACTTGACCCTTAGTGGCCACATTGTGCCTTGGGTCTAAGGGTAATAGCTCTCCAGCTTGGCACAAGGACTATCAGGTGGCAAAATCACAGGCTATTTTGATGGACTGTACTGCAATATCCCCAGAGGACACTAGGGGGCAGGAGGCCCTCACAGAAAAACTCAGGCTTGAATTTTAAAGACTTTCTGCCTACTTTTCATGCACACCTTGGGCAGGCCAGTTGTCCTGAACTCAGCAGACATCGTGGAATGTCCTTTGCACCCATTAGAGGGTACAGAACTGAAGTTTCGGAAGGAATTTGGAACTCTACTCACTCCTCCGTAAAATAAACAAAGGTTCCTAACCAAGTGGACTTTTTAAAAGCCAAAGTGCCCTTAGCTTTGGACCCCAGAGTGTGGGGTTCCACACCTGCCCCAGGCAGAGGTAAACTCAGGCGGATTTCCAGGACACTGTTAACCTGTCACCGTTTATTTCAGCCCTGTAACTGAGGAACCATGAATTGCTGGCTCTCCCCTTTGTTACGTTGTGTAAGGAGCACTAGACTCCTATACAAGGTTTTCAAATACAAAGTGTGTAAAAAAACACAATTCTACGTGCTGTAAACATGGAACCAATTCCTTAGCTATACATCGCCCATTTTATAAAATAGAAGGTTTCAACTTGAGCCCATCTAAGCCTTGAAGATGACCATCTATTCTGATTATTAAAAACAGGGCTTCAAGTCCGGTGGGGTGGGGGTGCCTGGGTGGCACAGTAGGTTCAGCGTCCCACTCTTGGTTTTGGCTCAGGTGATCTCGGGGTCTCCCTCCCCCTCTCTCCCTGCTCCCTAAAATCAATCAATCTTTGGAACACCACCACCACCACTCCAGGGCTTCCTGGCCCGACCCACCAGGGCCCTGGTGACAGTGGTTAGCCCCGGGCAGGGGTGGACTGCACTGCACGCAGCAGCACCACCCGTGAACCGAAGACAGGACATCTAGTCCCTTTAGAGCTGTTCTCAGCCGTGTTTCTATCTGTATCTCTAGTAAGTAAAAGGCTGCTTATCCCATTCCTCAAACCAAGATGTAGCACAGGTTGGAAGGGGTAGGGTAGGTGCTAAGACAGGCCCAGCTGCTCAGTGTTGCTACTAGAAGTCAATCTGCATAGTCCAGTGAACGTGTGCTTTAGTACCACTTAACATGGCACAGAAGTTTAAAGTCTTTACCTGCAAAGCGAAAAAATACTGATTCTTAAAACCAAAGACTTTACAAAATGATACAAGACTGCTTATGTATTATACAAAGCTCTTTTAAAATTGAACTTTTATTTTAAATAGGAAAGCATTTCTAGTGCTACAGGCATCAAGGTATTTAAAAGGCATCAAAATTTGGTGCATAGCAACTCTGGATCATAGAGGCTTTTATTCCTGAAGGCAGCAGAGCAACCCCCAAAGGGTCTTGCAAGGAGCACTCTTGCGAGAACCCCATGTGAGGCAGCTACCCCAGGGGCAAGAGGGTGGAGGCAAGTCCGGCCAGCTGTCTGGAACTTCCTGTCAGGGGCCGCCTCTCAAAGCCCCTCCAAAGGAAGCGGTGGGCTGCCAACTACAGGCCCTGAAGCAAATCTCACTATCCACACTCTGACACAAAACTTACTTTTAAAGAAAACAGGAAAACACCCAGCTCCAGGAGGTACCAGAGTGATTTGCTGAAGGATAGACATTTTGCTCTAACTAGGTTTAGGGGAAAAATGTAAATCATGGTTTGAAGGGGGAAAAAAAGACCATACTTCTTTATGCTGTAGGAGGTCAACAGCTCCTACCTGGCTGACTAGAGGTGGTAGGCAATGAGCCAGCTCCCCGTGCCCGGGCCTTACTTGGCCTCAATACAGAGTCCTGGCATCTAGGACTCATAATCCCCTGGAGTAACAACATCCAGCCCTTGACCAGCTCAGCACATTGTCGCGCATATAGGCACTCAAAAAATTTCCTTCCTGAATAAATGAAATTACATGATTTCAATTGGAAACATACTGCAAACTTCAGGTGCTTTGAAATGGGTCCAGCCTTGGAACAGGTACTAATCCCATTAAAGGGAGGGGGAAGGGCAGGGTTTGGAAAAAGCACCCAACTGGGGCACCTCCTTTGGTAGACAGCAGGCTGGAGTTTCTTGCTGGCCCCTGCCCTGGGCACCAGCCTCACCAGCAGCAGCACCGGGGCATCTTTGGTGTGGAGGGTCAGGTCTGTGATGCTACCTCTTGTTTGGGTTTGCCTCAAAGCCTTTTGGGGAAAAGGATGGTTTTTAGGCCATGCAGATGGTACGAGGGTAGGCCAGAATCATTTTAGGCTGTAAACAGAATGACGGATAAACCTTCCATGCCATTGTGAATCTTAAAAGCTTCCCTTCTGGAGTCCTGTATTTTCTCTGCTCTTCTGAAGCATATAGCTCATTTGTGCTTAGCTTCTGACACAGCCTGGCCTCTAGAGATGAGTTAGAACCAGCAGATTTGCCTAAACCATCATGAGGCTGTGACTTCAAAGGTTACAGAGCAGCCAAATGCAAATACTCCCAGTTAGAAAAGGCCTGGGACCAGAGGACACAAAAGGGAAAAGCACTCCACAGCCGACTTGTTTGCAGGATGGCAGGATATTAAAGCTACCAAGCTAAAAAACCCACCTTTCAAAGTCACCTTACATGTAGCTATCTTATCCAAGGCCCTGAGGGAAAAAAGCAATTTCAACATGGAGTCAGTATGGAGAGACTGCAGGAAGATTACCTAGAAAGTTACAAAAAGGCTACGCTCTGGAATGTCGTTTTATATTCCAACACGTTAATGATTGGAATGGTCTCTTCGTACTTTAACAGTTTACTTTTATAAAGAGGTATGAGCTACATTTGGCTTTATTTCCTATAAATCTATGAAAGGCTTTAGGACATGCTGAGTTTCTGAGGCATAGGTGTGGACTTAACAATTTTTTTTTCTTTCATGTTTGCCTCTGGAAGGTTTTATCAAAAGTTCCTACTTTAAAAATATCATCAAAGCTAAAGAGTCCTTCAAATGACCATAAAGGAGTACAAATCACCAATCATAGCTAAGCAACCAGGTCACTTGCAAAAGCAGCACCTCCGAAATGGAGAGCCTGCTGCATTCACACTCAAAGCACCCATCATATAAAAGTATCCTATTTAAATATAAAAAGCAAAGCTTATTTCCCCAAAGCTCAGTTTATGCTGCTCCTGTTCTTTTACAAAATCTACCCAAGGCCTGAGGTGCAGGAATGCTTTCCCCACATACAGTGATCCCAACTCCTGGTGCCAGTCCTGAAGGCCACAGAGTTGGAAACTCAACGTCCAAGGAGAGAAACATGCTGAGAAGTACATGGTGGTGGACACATGGCTGCAGTGAGCACTGTCAGAGCCCATCAGATCTTCCTATATCCAGGGAATCGGGACCCGGGAGGGGAGCCTGCCTGCTCGCCCCTGTTCCTTGGGAAACAGAAATCTGGGACATGTCTCTCCCAATTATCTCGTTCACTGAAAAACAAGAAAAAGAATGATTAGTGACCTCTGTGTGACTGACCATATGATGCTCAATGGTGAGTTCCATATCAAAGACATTTTCCCCCTTTCCAGTTTTCTGTAAAGGTAAATGCAGTGCTTAAAGCCTGCTCCTAAACTGAATGGAGACATCATTCCAGACCCCTCCTCTTCCCTTTCAGTTCAGTTTGGTTTGGGAAGGGAGATAGCTCAGAGAACAGGAAACGTTCTTACCCTCACTCTAAAAGCTTATGCTCTGGAGAAGATAGGATACATATGAAATGAGTTCATGTTAATCTAACTTTTCCTTAATTTGCATCCTTTTAGGAGGGTTTTCTCCTTCTGATTCCTGCAGTGTACTTTGTAAAGTGAATGCGAATAGAATAAATTGTTTCGGTAAGAATAAAGGAGAATTTGCCAGTTATTTTGTTACCTTATGCTAATACAAGCATCTTTTATTATGCTAGGGGCATTTGTTCTCATCCTGTCAGAAAAGACTTGCTTTTTTGTTGGTTTCTATGACAAGCCAAGCACTTCAAGGAACAAAAAACTTCAATATTAAGGAACCAGTATAGAAAACAATATCCCAGGGGTGCCTGGATGGCTTAGTAGGTTAAGCTGCCTTCGGCTCAGGTCATGATCCCAGGGTCAGCAGGGAGCCTGCTTCTCCCTTTCCTCCCTGTTTGTGCTCGCTCATCTCCCTCATGCTATTGCTATCTTCGTCTTTCTCTCAAATAAATAAAATCTTAAAAAAAAAACAACCCCAAATTCCCTCAGTAAGAACCTTTAGTTCTCTCATGATGAGAATTCTCTGCTTTGAAATGAAAATTCTTTTATCAACTAAAGATTATACTCCTAGGCATATACTCAAAAGAACTGAAACATATGTCCACGTAAAAACTTGTACTCGAATACAAGTTCACAGCAACATTATTCATAATAGGCCCAAAGTGGAAACAACCCAGATGTTGGTAACCAAGTGATGAGTGGATAAACGAAATGCAGACTATCTATACAGTGGAACATTATTCTGCCACAAGAAGGAATGAAGTTCTAATACATGCTACAACATGGGTGAACCTTGAAAACATGCTAAGTGAAAGAAACCGGACACAAAAGATCATATATTGTTTGATTCCATTTGTATAAAATGGCCAGAACAGGCTAACCACACAGACAGAACATAGGTGGTTACGAGGAGTTATGGTGAGGAAGGAATAGGGAGGGACTGCTAACGGGTATGGGGGTTTCATTTTGGAGTAATGAAAATTTTCTAAAATTAGATAGTTGTGATAGTTGCACAATTCTGTGAACATAGTAAAACCATTGAATGGTATATTTTCAAGGGTGAATTTTATAGTAATGAATTATATCTCAGCACAGCTGTAATAAATGAAGAGGCCAAGACAAAAAATTTTTATACTTAGAATGTGATGTGATCATAGAGCAAAGGAGACAAAATCACTTCAAAAATCTTCAAGTATTAACATCCACTCTTTTTATAGTTTAGGTAATTTAAAAAATTCTTCAAAGTCATATGGCTGTAAGAAGGGAACTAACATTCACTTCACAAATACTGAGCATCTATGAGAGTTTACAACTGAAATTTTGTATCTTATTTCAATCTTCACAACATTTTAAGGTAACTACTAACCCACTTTATAGATCAGTTAACTGAGGCTTTGGTAGGTCACATAATTTGCTTAGTAAATGGTGGAATCAGTTTCCAAACACCTGTCACTTCTTGGAGGCCAAGGGAAGAGAAACAGGGAAATAAATCATTTAGACAAAGAAAATGTGAAAGACCTGGACAAATGTGGTGATGGCTGGGAGAGAGAGGAGTATGGTGAGAGTAAGGAGAGGGAAACAGGAAAGAGACAATATAAAAGGGACAAAAATAGAAAAGGCACCTGTTATTCCAAGCCACATAACAAGCAAGGAACAGTGTTTTCAGTGTGGACTCCATGTGTAGGTCTATGGGCTAGTCTCATGCTAAGACGGAGCACAAGGATGGCCCATGATCTTGCACGTGGCCTCTCACATAACTCAGCACATCAAATTACTGGTAGGGGTCA